ATATATTTTTGTGGAGAACAGCTGGAGACTTTAACTGGATGCCTCCTTTTTAGAAGGCAACATGGGTTCTGTTTTGGGGTATTGGAAGTGCGAGTTCATTGGGCTTGTTAAGAAGTAGCCTCCTGTGCTTCTGGGCCCAAAGTGTGACATACATTTCCCACTAATTGCTTCTCTTAAGTAAAAGGGTAGCTGTTCCTCTTGAGGAAAACATTAATAAACCTTTTTATTTTAAACAGTACTGTGGCTGACTTTGTTGTTTCCATGATTTTTTTTTTTTTTTTTAAGCTTAACCATGTCTAGGTTCTTAGGCGAATGTTGTAGGGTCTACAATACATGGGCAGGGTCCTTATGGGCCTATCAGGCCGTACTTCCTGTGCTTCTGTTGTGTACCACACACCATACGAGGAATACAGTGGTGAATAATACAGATCAAATCCTTTGTGTAGTTTTAATCTTTAGAAAACAGTAAAAGTGTGTGTGAATGAGGGCTATGAAAAAGAGTGCGAAGGATCAGAGGGTTTGGCAAAGGGATGAGGTAGTGGTGGGTAAAAGTGAGTGAGCTGGTTATTTGAGTAAGCATTTGACGTGTACAGCCTGTGTAACTGCCTTGAGGGAAGAAGGACTTTCTGTGCACTGGAAAATCTTTGCAGTTGTCTTATGTGGACCTGTGCCTGACATGTTTTAGGACTAGCAAAGAGATCGGTAAGTCTGGAGCAGAGAGAACAAAGGGAGAATAGAAGTCGATAATGGAGAAGCAATGTGATTGAACACAGGGAAATTTCCTTCAGTGTTTACTGTGACTGGGGTCTGTGGAACTTCCAACAAAAAGTATAATATGACTAAGCCATACCGTATCATCAGGAATCCTCTTTTAGGTTGAAAATAGCCTATATAGGGGCAAACGTGGAAGCAGAGGCCAGTTAGAAAACTGAACCAAGTGATATATGATGGTAGCAGTGAAGAGTTTATATTCAGGTGTGTTGTAAATGTGAGTCGAGCCAGCAGGATTTAGTAACGCATATGTGTGTGATAGAGATTGGTAAGAATTGACTCGAAAGTTTTGGGACCAGTAGTCAAGATAATGACGATTATGATAGGAGCAGGTGGGAAGGGTAAGAGAATTCAGTTTTCAACATACTGATGGTAGAAAGTGTCACATTCTAGAGATTTACAATAGGTAGTTGAATATGAGTCAAATTCAGGGACAGATCTGGAGATTTATGTGTAATATTTTAAAATGTGAGGTGAGACTAGGTAGGATGGCTAGGGCTGAGCATAAATAGAGATCTCTGAGGTACTGTACAGATGAAGAGGAATTAGCATCTCATGTGTTGGCACACACCTCTAATCCCAGCTACTTGGGAGGCAGAGGCAGGAAGATTGGAAATTTGAGCCCAGCCTGGGCATCTTGTTGAGACCCTATCAGAAAAGAGTTGGAGGTGTAACTCAGTGCAAAGGCCCTGGGTTTAATCCCCGGGACCATATCACCAAAAAAGGGGGGAAATAAGTAGAGGTCACAGGAGACCTTCACGGACTGTGCTATGGTGGGGACAATGTCAGGGAAGTATGGAGAAGAAAACGTGTGAACCTCAGACGTCCCCGACTACCTACCAAGAAACATGAAACAACACTTGTGTCTTAGTAGGAATGATCCACTGAGAAGCTAAACGAGTGCAGTAAGCACAGTACTGTGAAAGTAAGCTGACCCCGATGTGAGGGTGGAACAGTCTATACGTACAGGAACTTGTAACTCACCAACAACTATTATGAGGTATGAAGAAATTTTAAGCCTATAGTCCCAGCTACTTGAAATGCTGAGTGAGGCAGGAGGATCACTTGAACAGCCTGAACAACAAAGTGAGGAGCCTCCTGCTTCAGGGGAGCAGTGGGGAGCGAAGTTTTAAGCACAAAGCAGTGTGAGGCAGGGAAAAAAGATTTCTAGAGAGGATAATTTGACCTAAGGCTTTAAGGAAGGGTTGAGAGGCTGGGCATGGTGGCGCATGCCTGTAATCCCAGCACTCAGGAGACTGAGGCAGGAGGATCATTGTGAGTTCCAGACCAACTTGGATTACAAAGTGAGCTCAAGGCCAGCCTGAGCAGCATAGGGAGACCCTGTCTCAAAAAGACCAAAAAAAAAAAAAAAAAACAAACAAACAAAAAGAAGGGTGGAATTTTCCACAGGGTAGAGTAGAAAATAACATTACAGGCAGATTTCAGGGAAAAGCGAGGTACAAAAGACATGAGCAAGAAGTTGCCTAATTTTGACTGGTGTTGGATATGTGGACAAAATAGCCTGCAGTAAATTAGGACCATAACATAAGCAGGAAGTTGGTAATCTAGGAGGTAGAATTACGTGCATAACTAGAGCATAGACTAGGTGAGGACAGAGGCAGAGAGAAATTCCAGAATTCAGGGTGAAGGGGTTACTCCCATGAACTCCCATACTTTTCCCACTCTTGGTTTTTCACTTCAGTTCCACTGTTTCTCTAATAAAGATGATCTTTGAGGCACATGGTGGAGATCAGTTGGACTAGCGTTCAATTTAGAAGGGAATCAGCGTTACTACTTTGGCTCTGTAAGAGGTTAACAATGGAGAGAGAAAACACCTTTTCTCTTTCTCCTAGGTACTCCTAGTTAGAGTACCTAGCATCTAGTAGTCACACAATAAATACTAGTTTGCACTCCCACCACCCAAGGTCTTCTCTCAGTTCTTCACAGCTCCTCTAGCCCTTCCTGTACATCTACCATACTGTATTATGAATGCTTTCTGAGAGGATTCTTTCTTAATCCACTCCTACTTCCCATCCCTCAGGATCCCATCATGAGGCCATCGCTTGTGGGCTAGAGGAAAAGCATAAGCCATACTTGGTTAAATACCCCTTAAGTTTATCCTAAGTGTCACAGAGGTCTTTCTGTCCCAGTTGGATGGGTTAGTAGTTTAAAGGAGTCCCCAGGATTAAGGAAATGCTACCCCGTTTGGAATAGGACTTGGAGTAGTGGGACCAGAGATTAGTCCCTCCCTGCCTGTCTTCGTTGGAGAGGAGATACATTTTATTTATTTATGTATTTATTATTTTGCAGTGCTCAATATTGAAACCAAAGCCTTCACACTGCACTGCATCTCCAGACCTTTTTATTTTTGAGACAAAGTCATTCTTCGTTGCCCTGGCTGGCCTTGAAGTTCTGCCTTAGATTCTCAAGGAATTATAGGCAGGTACCATCGCCTCTGGTTTATTTTTTTATGTTTTGGGCATGCTGGGGATTAAACCCAGGTATTTACCCACATTAGACAAGCCCTATACCGTTGAGTTATGTGGAATGGTACATTTAATGGCGAAGTTAAAAAGTATTGGATTCCTGTACTCCCTAGCCCACATCAGAAGCTGTGGAATTCTTTGGGCCCTTGGAATCACTGATAGAAAATTAATCCCTTATTTTCTGGGATATGAATGGACTTTTATTTGAACAGATGCTTGGAACTTCAGCCCAGGGACTACAGCACCTGCTTCAGTCAGTCTGGCCCAACACTGGTCCCTAGGCCAGATGTGGGTGTGGGAGCTGTGTGTGGAGGCATTTGGGCTGATACCAGCTTTGGCAGCTTTAACCAGGGAGCTGTGTCTGCAAGGCTTTCAGTTGCTGCACTTAGCCTATTTGCAAAATCTTGCATTTAAAAAAAAAAAAAATCTGATGCCCTCCTCTTTTCCCACCAAGTGTACACAAGTGGCTCTACACCTTCTCCCTTGCAGGCAGTTCAGTACCAGTAGGGAGACAATGCCTGGAGCGTGGCCAGCGGTGGGGCTGGAGGTAGAGAAGGCGTTCTGCACCAACTCTCCACTTCCTTCCCCGTTGCCCTGCCCTGGCCCTCCTCCTCCAGCAGTCACAATGCAGGGAGGCGGACCGGCAGACTCAGTGTCCCCAGGAGGGGTGGAGGGCCCCCAGGAAGCAAGTTTGAAGGAATGTCAGGGTAGGTAAGTGTGGGACTAGATGTTCCCAAAAAGGATAAGGAAGTGAACCAGGTATAGAAGGCTGGTAGGGATCAAGAAAGGGAGAAAACTTGCAGGCTGAGTAAAGGTGATAACTTTTAGAATGACGGTTAAGATCTGCTTGGGACTGAGCAGGCATAGGAGAGAAGTGGCTGTGAACATCGGAAGGGAGAGTGTGAGCCCTGGGCAACCCACTGACAGCAGGACAACACACAGCGGCAAGTGGGAGGGTGAGGGCTAGGCTCCCCATACAGCCTGCATTAAAATAGAAGTGGCCTAAGGAGCAGGACAGAGAGCACAATATCTTGGAGAGGGGGTGTGGGTTGGAGAAGTTTCCTGCTCTTGACTTTGACTGGAGCTTCCCTGTCTCCCTGGGAATGGAGGCAGCTAAGAAAGCCTTGACTGTTGGCCTTCTGTAAAGCAGGAGCGTCAAAAGAGGGCTCGGCCCAGGGCTTAGTCTGCAGATGGGGGTCACGTTGGGAGCCCTATGTTTCAGTGCTAGGGGTACACAAATCAGTAGTGAGCAGTTACTACCCTGGAAGTGCTCAGTCTAGAAAGGAAGAACAGTGCACAGAAGGGATTTAAGTATAATGGTTGAGCCAGGTGTGGTGGCACACGCCTGTCATCCCAGCACTCTTGAGGCTGATGCAGGAGGATCTTTGCGAGTTCGAGACCAGCCTGGACTGCAGAGTGAGACCCTGTCTCAAAAGGACAAAAAAAAATGTGGCATGAGTAAACTCAAGTTTGCAGCACTCAGAGTAACTAATCGCCTTCAAGATAAAGCTAATGAATGTCCAGAATAGGCAGTGAGTCAGATGGGGTCTAATTGGGCAGGGCTGAGCCTCTGATACTGGAGCAGACAGGAGTGAGGAGGAAGTCACCGGGCTCACAGACGCATCCTGCGCCCCTTCACGTTCTAGTAGATCCTGAGCAGCACTTCCACATCCTCCATGAGAAAGGGGCCGAAGAGAGGGGCAGGAAAGGGAATCGCAGCAGCCAATGGGGGCAGTGCACAGGAGACAAGGAAACAAAGCCTGATTCTTTCTTTGGATGAGGAGAGCCTCCCCCGCAAACTAGCATCCAGCCGCAGCTTCACATTGGGCGCCTCAGTCACCCGCCCTGGCCAGTTGGAGGGAAGTGGCGGTGGGTGCCGCTGTGAGAGGGAGAGGGCTCTAGGAGGAGATACCACCCCCCAAGCTGGGTGTGGGGCTGCGAGTTGGGAACCAGAGAGAGCAGAAGTGCAAAGCACACAGGAGATGGTATTCGGCATTAATTGTATGTCAGATTACCACTGCCCCAGACTGTGTTCAGGGGCACATGGGTCCTGTCTGCCCTCTAGCCAAGAGTGCAGAGATGGTTTCAAGGAGCATTGGGAAAGCTGAGGGGGAGAAACGGGACTCCAGTGTGGGACAAGAATGTAATAGTTTCAACTTGCAGGGACATTGGTGAGGCTGACCTCTGTGTGTGTGTGTGTGGGGGGGTGTTCGTGCATGTGCACACGTGTGTGGTTTGTGTATGCACACCCCGAAGTATGTGGGTATATACCAGGCAGAGAATGGAGGTGGTGGGTGGAGGAATGTGTCAGGACTGACTGAAGGGGAGAGTGACAGGGGCAGGAAGTAACTCCTCTAGGAAGGAGATCTAACTGGAGGTCCTGTTTTAGGACTTGGACAGGGGAGGAAGCAAAGACCATCATCACAATAGTCCTTTGGGTGACTGGTGTGTGGTCTTGTCCTGTGGCCTTTCTAGTCCATTACCTCTCACCAGGCAGTGTAGTCTGAGCCCCAAGACCCCTCACAGAGGAGGGCGTGGATTTGAGGATAGCCATGGCACCCTTAGGCCATTGGCTTGGCAGAGATTGTAGCACCAAGGGCGAGGGAGCAAATGGGAGACCAGACTGAGGCCCCAAGGTGACAGGGAGGAGGTCTGGGGTGCAGGGGTGACAGGAGTGTCCCTAGAGCAGATCCATAGGCAGTGGGGTCCTCAAGCACCTACCCCGGCCCCACCAAGGCTGCTGCCCTCCTCTACCCCTGCCCCTATACCATCCTTCCAGAGTGTGCCGCATTTGTGTGTGTGTCATAGTTGCTCACTGTAGCTGCAGCATACAAGAGTATATCCACAGCTGTGATTTTCTCTGATCCTTGCCACAATCCTATGAGGTAATGTGAGTATACTTTTTTTTTTTAACAGAAGAAGAAAACAAGACTCGGAGAATGCACTTTATTTTTAGCAGTGTGCCTTGGGTCTCACGGTTAGTGCTGGGGTGGGAAGTACAGTCTGTGGAGCTTTCCGACCCCAGACAGTGTGCCTGCTTCCTGGGTTCTCTGTGTCCTCTAAACTTCCCAGCAGCCATTTCACAGATGAGAAAAATGAGGTTCAGAAAGGTCAAGCAACATGCTCAGGTTCACACAGTGCCAGAAATGGGTCTCAGAACCTGTCTGACTCCACATCCAGTGCTCATACGAAAAGATGGGGAGAAGCTCCCTAACTGCTGTGGGTGAGGAGATCTGCCCTGGAGAAGCTGGAGACAGCCTCTGCTTCCCACAGACAGGGTGGGCTCTTGCTTTTCTCTAGAAACCAAGGAAATGGTGAAATGTGGGAAAGAATAAGAGCCCCTCTCCCCAAGGCTTGCGGACAGGCAGGGATCCAGTCGGGCAAAGTTTAACCAGGCTTCCGTCCATCGGGGCAGGTTTGATTTCAGAGATCACCCTAGGAGATAGGGTGCAGGGGAAGTGTCCAAGGAGGGAAAAGAAAGATTTCAGATATAAAAGGTTGAGAAAGAAAGGTGGGAAGCCAGACAGACCAACTGTGCCCAGCAGGGGGTGTATTTCCTGTTTCCTGTTTCCTTCCTATTTCCTGTTGGCCTGGGGAACACCTGTAGACTCTGGCCGTGATGCCACAAAGAAGCAGGTGGAGCCCTGAGCAGAGGCCTGGGCCAATCACTGTCCCCCTATACCTGCCAGGGAAGTGGGCCAGGTTTGGGGTAGAGCTGCATGCCAGGGAAGGTATTAAATGAGCTTCCACTTCATTTGCATGTCCTAATTAACCATAAAATGAGCCCTAGAGGCAAAATTAAGCTGCCAGTTTCTCTGTACTTACTTCCACGATCTCCCTATACATCCTGTCCCTGCTCCCTGCACTCTTCCCTGTCTCTTAGGCTCTGGGTTTTCCCATTTACCTCTGCACTCAGCTTCAGCACAATAAACGGTCTCCGTCACTGTCTCAGCAGGAGCCCAGAAGGGGACAGAAAAGTTAAAAGTATAGGCGGGTAGATGAGTTACCAGAATCTTTCTTTAACAAAGCATGAACGGTGGTTGGGGCATTACCTCAGCCCTGTCAAGACCCAAGCAAAACTGGTGCACTGGACAGTCAGCATGCCAGGTTTTATCCATGCAGTTGGATAACATGGGGAAGGCAGGTTTTGTTCTTGATCTGACTCTGGGCAGATAAATGGAGTGTGTAGGGTGAGGTGGAAAGCGCAAGATTGGAAGCCAGTGGGAACTGCTTCGGTCTCAGCTCTGCCCTTGTGTGACCTCAGGCGCGCTCCTTACCTTCTCTGGGCCTATCTAGAGAAGGGGAAGAGCTGCCACTTCTAGGGTGCAGTGACAAGGCTGTAAGAACATTAATGTGGAAAGGTTCCTGGCACCTGTATTGGCAGAAAATCTCTCTTCTAAAGTGTTATGGCTGAAGTTCAAATGAGCCATATAAGGAATCTTCAGTTCCTTGGATTCTAAGTGAAGGCTAATAGGAGTTTTCTTCTTTATTTATTGGATCCTCTTGAGGCCAGAGGTGGGTCCTTCTCGCCACACTGTGCTCAGTTCCAGGCACAATGCCAGGCACTGGGAGGTATCTGTGAGGTCTTGTTGACCGCCACGACCAGTCCGTGAAACAGATGCGCCGCAGGTGGCTTGGTTTCCTATAGAATGATTCCAGACTCAAAGCTGGTGTCATCTTGAATAATTTCCCGGGTGTCCCCTCCTCTCAGGGACCACAATCTGTGAGGACTCTTCACGTGCACATTCTGCTCACAGACACATCACCAGCAGCAGCCTTCACAGCCGCAGCGGACTTCCCCTAGCAGAGGCTGAACTGGCAGAGTTCTCTAGGGAGACACATGGGCTGGGCCGCCCCAGAAAGGGTGAGCTTACTTGGCAAACTCGAAGCTGAGAAGTAGCAAAGGGCAGGGCTTTGGGAGCTGGATATCCCTCTGGCTCAAACCTTGGTTCTTTCATTTGCTAGGTGCCTGGTCTGGACAGCTTGCATGACCCCTGTGAGCCTCCCTTAGTGTACCTGGAATACAATACCCTCTAGGGTCATTCCAAGTCTGAAAGGACGGTCCACCCTGCCTGTCAAGTAGTGAATGCTCAGAAAAACTGCCTTTCTTTCCCCACACCCAACTAGAGCTCTAATCCCACTCTAATCTCCACCCGCTGGCGGTCTAGGCTGCAGGCAGGAGTCTTCCTTGTTATTTCCCTTCTTCTGTTTGCGCTCAATGCTCTCAATGCTCTGAAGAGGGAAGGCGTCAAGCCTCTAATTGCAGCTGTCACCCCCATCAGGCCGCGCGCGGGTAGAGGAGAGGGAGGAGCAAGGGCCCGCCCCCACCTCCCCGCCCAAAGGGACCTAACCCGGGCAGTCTCGCCAAGCTCCCCGCTCCCGGCTCCCGGCTCCCGGCTCCTGGCTCCCGGCTCCCTGCTCCCGAGCTGCTTTAGGAGGACCTGGCCGCGTCTAGCTGGCTAGGCGCCCCTACTGACTCCGGGTGAGGAGGCGGCTAGGCCTGCGCCTAGTGCCTAGTGCGGAGGGGACGAACAGTGGAAGTAGGAATTAAGGAGTGGGCTCGCCGTCACCCTGCTGGTGGATCTGGCTTGGAGGAGTTAGGCAGAGGCTCTCAGAGCTGCTAGAGTAGGGGCAGTGTGTTTTAACTCCAGGCTCCAGCGTGTACCCAGCGGGCGCTGGCCTCCCCCACTACCCCGCCAGTGGTGTGCGGGGCAGGTAGCATATCTGATGCTGCCGGCCTCGCCTGCCTGCTTACAAGAAAGCAGGCATGGGAGAGGCTTCTGAACGTGCAGAGGGCTGTACCCCTGTACCCCACACATAGCACAGGTGGGGTGTCCCAGCTTCCCCCGGGACTCATCATACGCTGTCCTCCTTATTCAGCCCATTTCCCGGGATCCCGGAGTGGCTGCAATCTATGGCACCAGGGAAGGCTGGGGGCGGGCATTCCCTCTGGCTGCCCTGACCTCCAGAGCAGGGCTTCGGAGTCTCAGCCGACAGCAGTGCCTTGCCAGGGAAGCAGACAGCTATAAGGCTGGGGGCAGCAGAGGCAGGTCTTTATTGGGGGCCCCGGGGCCCTTTCCCGCACACGATGTTCACTGGAGGTCTTTGAGGTCAGTGGAGGAGTGTCAGAAAGACTTCTCTCCCCGTTCCTCCCCTACTACCACCTGCAAACCCCAAATGAGCACGACACACGCACACAGTACAGTCATTTTTTCTGCAGGAGCTGTCCCTCCTCCCGCTGCCAGCGCTGTGACAGCCTCTCCCAGCTGCATTCCAGTCAGCCCTGCCCCAGAACTCTGGCCTCTCCCTCCCTTCTGAAGGAAAGGAACTTGGATTTGGGCTTCTCACAGCCATACACCCGCCCCCCTCCTCCCCAGGGGCCCAGCACAGGGACTGGTCTTTGGGTTCAGTCAACTTTCCCTCTAGGATTCAGACCCAAACAGCTGTGTTAATATCAAAGCCCGAGGGTGAGGGTTCCATGGCCTTGGGGCTACTTGTTGGGGGATTGTCCCCTTGTCTGGACTCCCCTGTACTTGGGAAGGGGAAACGTCCAGAGCCCTTGGAATGGCTCCACTTTTTCACCTTCTGGGAGCGTCCAGCCCGCGACTCTGAGACCACGGGCGTCACCCAGCCTGGCTTCTCCTTCAGCAGCCTGTCCCGGTCAGGCCGCACGCTACGCAAGAACTTCCTAAAGATATTTGCTGTTAGAGCAAACTTGCGGCCCAGCTCCCGGGGCTGGCTTTTCTCTCCTTTGGGCTCACCTGCCCCGCCAGTCTCACCCTTCTCCCCGCCCTTCTCCAGTTCCGGCAGGTCTAGCCAGTTGCCCACCAGGTCTGCAAAAACGTTGTCCCCTAAAACCAGCGGCTGCCGATTCCTGCCTCTCGACATCAATGTGGAGGTCCAGTCATCTGGTTCCGCCCACTCTGGCCCCTGCTGAGCACAGCTTTGGTGCTCTGGCAGCTGTGTCCTGGGCAGGGGGTTGGGATCCCTCCCACAGACACTCCTATGGCTTGGAAGCTTGGTGCTGCCGCCAAGAGCAGGATGGCTGGAGGGGTAGGAGCAGGTCAGAGGCCTGGCCGGATCTCTGCCACCTTCCCAGTAAGGCCACTTGGGCTGTGTCCGGGGACTTTCGGGGGAGCCTGGTACGGGACTCCCTCCAGAGATGTCCAGCTGCTCCAACGCCGTCTGTACCTGTAGGAGCTTCAGTTCTTGCAGTGCACCCATCATGCAGTTCATCTGATCCTGTAAGCCATCACCCACCTCCTTCATGGATATCTGAAGGGAAGAGAGAAAGCATAGGCCAGTGAGCCACATGGCGACTCCTCATGGCCCTGAACCGAGGCTTGCCACACAGCCTCGTTAGTGCAGCTCTGTGCTGAGAGAGATTTCAATGCTGCTAAGGCTAAATAAGGGAAACGGCATTAAGAGCAACAAACTAACTAAGGGAGGTGCTGTCCTAAAGGCCGTATAGATGCTTCTCCTCTTATGATGGGATTGTGACCAGGTAAACCATGCTAAATTGAAAATGCACTTAATACACCTAACATACCAGACATCACAGCTCAGCCTAACCTAATTTAAATGTGCTTAGAACATTTACATTAACTTTTAGTTAGGCAAAACCATCTAACATTAAGCCTATTTTGCAAGAAGCTGTTGAATAGCTCATGTACAGTACTACATACATGAAAAAGAAAAATAGGTACACTTTCATACCATGGGTAAGTCCAAAATCTATGACAGGGGGGGCTGGGGATTTAGCTCAGCGGCAAAAGCGCCTGCCTGGCAAGCGCAAGGTCGTGAGTTCGGTTCCTGGTACCAGAGAAAAACCAAACAAACAAAAAAACAAACAAACAAAATCTATGACAGGGACCTTGTGTGTGTGTGTGTGTGTGTTGTGTGTGTGTGTGTGTGTGTGTGTGTGTGTGCATGCGTTTATAATATATAACTTAATGTAAATTTAATCCCCCAGCTACCCTGTGAGGTAATAACTATTATCGTACTCATTTGACAGATGAGGAAGCTGAGGCACGTAAGTTACTTTTCCAAGATTAAATAGTAAAAGATGCAGCTGAGGCCAGTTTGAGGGTGCCCAAATTTATGGTGGCCATGCTTATCCTGTTTGGTGTCTGGGCCCTCTTTCTCTCTAACAGATGACAGTGACAATGTTGGTAATAATGATCGTGAGCATTTACTCTGCAAATGCTATGCTCTGTATCATCTCATTTAATCTTTACATAAACTCTTTTGCGGTTGCTGCTACTGTTCTCAGGTTAACAAGTGAAGAAACTGTGGTAGGAATGAAGTCATTCACCTAGTCATACAGTTCATAGAGTTGGGACTAAAATCCAAGACTGACTCACTCCAAATTCTGCAGTCCTAACTACTACACACTGTCTGACTGTGGCTGGGCAGGGGCTTGGCTTTTAGGCTACTCTGTCCTTTGCAGGGCAATATGAGGGGTTAAAAGGGTAGACTAGGGTTCCCTTTAATTGCTCTTTACCTCTGACCGGCCAGCAGAGAAATGAGGCCAGGAAATCCCCGCATGCTGGAAACCCTTGCCCAGCTCTTTCCAGCCTGTCTCCCTCCCAAACACCTGTCCTCTCTGTCGCCCTCAGACTTGGCTCCAGCACCCCTGCTGCCTTCCTAGCCTGGCTGGCTCTGTTGCCCTGGCCAAGCAAGAGCGGGGATCCTGGGGCCAGTTCTTCCAGACTTTTTTGGGTTTCTGAGGACAGAGTCTCAGGTGCCATCTGGAAGGGGCTGAGAGACTGACTTGGGTGAAGGCCACATTTGGAGGCTGGGGAGGAGCGGCTCTGTCTGATAACATTCACAAGGTTCCCTCTCCCTGCGCCCAAGCTGCCTTGGTCCTGCCAGCTCCCTCCCCAGATCCTGATCAAGTTACTCACAGCAAGCTTCATGTGCGGGGACCATCTGTTTCTTAAGCCCCCCAGAGACCCGAAGGATCATCTTACCTCCTGTCTTAATGCTCAGAGCTAAGCCTGGAGGGCAGGCGGGATAGGTAGCTGGCAGGGCTGGCAGGGAAGCTCTGCAGGGCTGGGCTGCACTGGCAGCGGACCCGCTCAGGCTTCTGGGTCCAACCTTCCCCTGCCAACCCTGGCCCTGGAGGGAGGGGCATCCTAGATAGGCTCTCAGCGAGCCAGCAACTCTAAAGGATAGTGGAGGATTCATGCCCCTGAGGGCAAGGAGGCTTTGGCTGGAGTGTGGAGATTGCCCCGCTTTGTGCATCTTCCCAAGACAGGGAGGGACATGGTGCTTCAAGGCTCTGACAGCCCTGGGATGTGCGTGGGCGAGTACCTGAGTGTGAGTGGTGGCGGCGGCGGCGGCAGCAAGAAACACAGCCCGTGGGTGGCTGTGCCTGCTGTTGATGGCCCTTGCCCTGCCCTCTGTGCTCCTGCCTTCCGGACCCTTCCTTTCAGAAGCAGCTGCAGCTGCTGAGCCCCAGGGCAGCACCAGAGAGACTCGGAACCCCAAACCAAGCTCAGCTCATTCTTGGCAAAGTGTGTCTCCCTGACCTCCTCTTTCTCCCTATGCCCCAGTCCACTTGCCTCTCTCACCTGCCTGGAACCTCAGAGACACTGTTGGCTTCTTCATTCAACCATCGTTTCCTGTCCAACTTAATCATGTACCATGCTGTCCTTCCCCTCCCCTAGATGTGTCCCCCCTCTCCTTCCACCCCTGGAGGGCTGCAGAAGTCTGGTTTGGGACAAGGCCTCCAGGCCACCAGACAATGGAGTGCCTGACCAGTTTTCCCAAACTCTCACTTCCAGTCACCTTACTCAGTGGCTCTCCACTGCCCAGAGACTCAACTCTAAATGACTTAGTTCTGCAGTCCAGGCCCATGACAGGATTTTCAATTCCGGATGTGTCTCTGTCTCCTATACATACTCGCCATGCTCCTGTCAGGGCCTTGCCTGTAATCTTTAAGATGCTCACCCCCAAAGTCCTACTGCTTATGCGCTTGCCCCATGTCCGCCACAAGTGTAAGTGCCTAGCTGCTCATGAAATATTAATTGAGCACTACTAGAGGCCAGGGAATGAGGTGTGTACATCCTTATGTCACCCCAGAACCTAGCTGGCACCTTGCACTTGCTACATACCCATCACCATTCATTGAGTCCTGCTGACTGCACTCCCCCCACCCCACGGACCATCCATTCAGACTTCTTGCTACCTTTAATCGTTTGCTAAACAGAGAGAGAGGAGACAGAGACAGAGTGAGAGCATGTGCCATTTGCCAAAGTTTCGTTTCACCAAGCAGCGAGGACTCTGAGCTGGCAGGCTTCCTTCCAGAAGGCAAAACACAGTCCAGGTCAGAGGCAGTAGGAGGAATGAAATGACCCCATTCAGTTTTATCCAGTATGGAAAAATCCATAAGAAATAATGCTGACATTTTGCACAAGTTTTCCAGTGAGAATAAATGTGTGGGCCTGCATGAATTCAGGGCTGTCCATGAAACAGAGGCACCATTTAAGTAAACAAGGGCTGAAATTGCACCCATATTAAAAGTAATATTCTGCTTACTTTTTTTTTTTTTTTTGGTACCGGGAATCGAACTCAGGACCTTGCGCTTGCCAGGCAGGTGCTTGTGCCCCTGAGCTATATCCCTGGCCCTAAAAGTAATATTCTGTGTTGGTTAAGAACTTGGGTTCTGGAAACAAAAGGAACAGAGTTCAAATCCCAGCTCTGCCATGTAGCAGCTATGTGATCTCGGCAGGTTAAATTGTTTTTCAATTTCTGCATTGTTTAACATGGGAATGATAGCTTCTGTGTTATACAGCTATATGCAGATTAGATGAGGTAATGTGTATCTCCGTATGGCACAAAGAACACATTAGGTGAATCTAGCTGTTCGCTTAAGGCTTCCTGTGTATTTCCGAACAGTTTTTCCTCACTGAAAATTAACACTAGTAATGACAGGATTCCAGTCACTATCTCTAGTCCAAAGGGAAACACATCCCTTGTCCTGTCCGTTCTCCCCCACCATACCCCGTGCAGAGGAAGGTGAGGGAAAGGAAGAGGAAGCCTCGGCATCCTCTTGCCCACCCTCACGCTGACCTCAGCCCGGCCACAAGCAGGTGCTACCAGACACAGAGCGGGCAAGGAGGAAGCTGTGACAGGGATGAGAGTGGAAGAAGGAAGCTGACTTGTGGGAAACCCAGAGCCGGGGGCAGTGCGAGCAGGAGCGTCCCCTGGGTACTGACCGAGGGGGGAGCCAGCAGGACAGCCTTTCCCACCAGCCCCAAGGGGATGATGTCACCCCCAGAGGAAAAGCCAGAGGCCAAGCTGCTATCTTCACCCAGGGCGTGGGATCTGCTCTGATCTCAGAGCTTCTTGTGCTTCAGGACCAAAAAGGGAGCAATCTGCGGGGAGCTAAGGAGCGGGGCCAGCTCAGACAGAGCCAGAAGTAAACATTTTTACATCCGAGTCTCCAGACTAGAAGCTGCTGGCTTCTCCTGGCCTCCTACTGTATCTGAGCCTCAGGTCCTTCCTCGGGACAGTTTTATCCTACTTGCTCTCAGGGGTCAGCTGGAGGGTCTGCGTGGTCCTGATTAGCTTGATAATTCTAACAGCCACCTCCCTTTCAAGTCCACATGTGACTGAACTATCTGCCATCAAATGCAAAGCCTTTAATAATCATATCCCAGGGAATACCACAGAAATCTCTTTGAGAATGGCCCTCAGTGGTCTTCACCATGCTCCTGCCCCACCTCCCCGCTCAGTCCAGCTCCCACCCCTAGCACCTTCTAGGCCTCAGTTGCAGCTTAAACGCTGTCTGCACATCGAACTTTGGCTGGCTGAGGTTTACCTCAGCACATGGTGTGTTCTGTATTTGAGCTGTATGGCTGCGGCTGCTCTCCTGGTGTGGGAGACAGCACCACATTGTAGTCTGGCGACCTAGCTGACTAACTAGGTCCCACATTGACCTCGGCCCTAGCTAACTTGCCCACCTGCCACTGGGTAAAACACAAGGCCTTCCCATGTGTTTAGCTCATGCCCTTTGACACGCTGCCCGAACCCCCCACTTGTCCTGGGAGGCTGGCTAGGCAAGTGGAGTAAACCCCACTTTATGGATTAGGAAAACAGTGATCGTCTCAGATCATCTTCTCTCTGTGCTGCCCAAATATTCCTCAGCAGGCTGTCCTTCTTGTTTTCACCATATCTACATGTGATTCAGACTTCTGTTTAATATTTTATTTAAATCTATTTATGCAAATAAATGTGTCCACAAAGGGACTTGCCTGAAAGGTAAGTCC